CTTAAGTGGTGGGAAGCCTGAACTAGGTTGGGGCATAAATGATTTAGGGCAATTCATGTATGAATTATTTGCTGGATATATAGTAGGGCTTTGATAAGTAACCGGTACGCAGGACAGAGAATTATTCGGGGATATAATTGGAGCTGCGGGGTTCGTAGACGTGCTGGGCTGAGCAGACTTGTTAGATCTATGAGAAGGCGTCGTACCCCTAAACGGAACTGTACTACCTATCTTTTGGGTCGGAGTCTGATTCAATTTTCGTCTCACCGTTCTGACGCCAGGCCACGGGTGACTTAGCTGTAGACCTTACAGCACCCAGTTGGACAATAGAAGTTATCGGTCTAGCTGATGTAGACGGATTTTCACGTGTCTCAGCGGGACTATCCGGAGGATACGAAACGACAAATGGGGCTGCTGCTGCTGCTGCTGCAAGTTTAGGGGCAGGCAAATGCGTCAAGTGGTTCGAGTGAGATGGAAATGTCGGAGAAAGAGGAAGGAGGGAGTCAGATGTCGCAGGAGTAGGAGAAGCTGAATCCTTACGGCCACTTGTATTATGACCGAGTTGGGGAGCATTAGACTGAGAAGCAGTAGGTTTACGTGAGAATAGAGACCCGATTCTACGCTCCATAGGAGTAAGATCATGACAAAGGAAAAATTTTGCCTTCTCTAGGTACGCAGTGACACGCTCTCGATGAGTAAAGATTGTGTCAACTTCGATTGATGAAAACAATTTGACTAAGATGGGTGGATTTGTACTACGGGAGGACAAGCGTTTGGCATCAGCTATTTTATAGTTGAAACCACATGAATACAGGAAACTGGTCGCAACATCAATTGGCCGAGCAGATCGAGGAACATTTTTTAGCAGGAAGTTGTAAGAACGCTTCTGTCTATCACTAGATTCACTGGCGATCAGGTGAACAAGTGAGTCGAGACGCCTACAGTCTTCAGAGGGAATATCGGAGATGTTCCCGTCGAATAAATGTCCAAGAATTGTCAGCAAAGAGCCAAACTTTAGCATAAAGTCATTGCAGTGGTCAAGTGCAGACAGATTAAGCTGCCGACCAATTACAACGGGTGACGACTGACTAGTAATATCATCTGACTTAGATTTAGGTAAAGCTTCTGACGTACGTTTAGTTAGGCCATGTTTACTTACAAGAGCCGAGAGCTTACGTCGACCAGGAGAAAAAAAACTGCTGACGGCAAACTGTCGACCATCAAGAAGGGAGGGGTTGCACGGTATCGGATATTATCAGTCGCCAAGTTCTTTCATGAAGTTGGGGCTAGTCCAAACAGAAGCGTCGGAGAACGGCTGTCGCTGTTGGCCAAAGAAATTGTCCCTGGTGAGACCGGCCATAGTGGTCAGAGACCACAAACGCCATCGCTACAGTACAGCTGATCAGGGGATTCAGCACGCAAAATTTGTGGGAGCTTTTCTGAATGCAAAAATCGAGTAATATTTCTCTTAAATAAAGGATAATTTTGCAGATTTTTCGCGTTACTGGGTAGTTTATTCCAAATAGCAGTTGCTTTTACAGAAAAGAACCGACGATATTTAGCAGGACGTGCCAGAGGAAGAAATAAAAAGAAAAAACGACCTTCTAATTGTGGGTTGCATGTACTGACCTAACTGCGACTGTTTATTCTATAGCCGAAAATCGAATAATGTACACAATCTGCCTACTTGCCCCGAAATTTACTTGCAAATTTATATTTATTTGCTATGACGGGACCCCGGAGGGCCTTTCAATAAAATTATTTATTTATTATTTATCTACCTTACCGGCGGGCGATTGCTTCTATGGGTATGATGACGAATTACTGTCACTGGTCGTTTGTGCGTAGTCCGGATGATCTGGACAACTGCAGTGTACGAGAACAATGAGCTATACAGCAGGACTACTAGCATAGATGATTGCTCTTGACATTACTAACTGACAGGTCATCTCTTCTAACGCCGTCTACTCTTTCCTTTTATGCCTTTACTTCTGTTTCATTTTAATCGTTGTTCTCTTCTGCTGCATCCTGCTCCCCTAAGGCCTCTTTTGCAGTGGTAGTACTATGCGTTGTGTCAGGCTTTGATTGACGCTTTCCGCGCGGTCTATCAATTTGCACAAACCGTTTTCCGTTCGAATCGCACTCAAAACGCATGTTAGGTAACATATTGACTGCGTGCGTGAGTATACGATGATCTATACACCTGTGGGTGCGTCGAGTACTTATAAATGAAGACGTCATGTTTTGAAATACTCCTTAACGTACCAAGGACTTACTTTCATAACAGACTGCACAGTGGTACCTCGACAAACAATTTTATTATCAATGGCATAGTTTATTGTGGTTACCTTGTTAGTGGCTTTGCGTACGTAATCTGTCAACGGCATTATAATTAAGAGTTTATCTGCTCAATAGGCCACTCACATTCCTGACTTTCTGCGCGTGAGGTACTGTAGATGTGCAAACTCATTTAATGTTAGACGAAACTCCAAAGTCCGGTTTCGATTAAAAAAAATATGTAAGTCGGTCCGCAGTATTCATTACCGTGCAGCATTATCTCACAATAATTCAGTTACTTCAAGATGCCAGCGAAAGTCTTTCCAACCGCTTGTAAAACACTTGTACTCTGGGAAAAACACTACTTAAGTGGTATGAATTTTTGTCATTTTATTTCAATGTCCTTCGCTAAATGGATATATCCAGCGTAGGGTATTCCGAAAGACAACCTGGACGGGGCAATGCATTAATTTTCACAGTTTTGCTCCCCTAAATATTAAACACAGTTTCGTCCAGGGATTAGCAGCTAGAGTGCGACGTATCTGCTCTCCTGAGACTGTTGAGGCAGAACTACAGCAGCTGCGGGATATACTTTACGAAAACGGATACCCAGACAGATTTTTCCTCTGAAATATGGGGGAGCGCACTACAAAGCTCACAATATCAACTGCAGAAAATAAGGGCTTATTTATAAGACTGCCTTTTCAAGGGGACGCAGCAACTGACCTAGTAAGAAGACGTCTGAAGACAGCGATCATTAGCGCTTTCCCCGCAAGGAATTTACGCGTATGTTACACGAACTCTCCCCTCCTATGCTTGGGAGGTAAAGACCGACTCCCGTTGCAAGCCACATCGATGTCTATCTGCTCATTCACTTGCTTCTGCGGAGCGGGCTACATTGGCCGTAAAACGAGGCGCCTGGAAAAGAGAGGGCCTGAACACATACCGGCCTGGCTAGGCAGAGGTGAAAAGAAAGCGATTTTTAGTTCTATTCTCTTACGTATTGTCAATACGAATCACGGAGTCGATGCCAAGGAAGCCTTCCAGGTTGTCTACCGGACACCAGCAAGCTTCTCTTGAGGCCTGCGCCAAGGGGTGCTAGCTACAGCCGAGACAGCAGCTATACGGCTAGCCAATCCAGCGCTATGTTGTCAGAAGACGCTGACGCAGGCGCTCTGTCTTCCGTGACCAACGCCGACCTCAGATGATGACTGCACGTAGCCCCAATCTCCTGATGGCGGTGGTGTGTGCACAACGTACCCGACGTACAAACACTACTCACAGCTTATGTCCCCCCTCCCCCTCGCTCCCTTGACCCAATGACCACGACACGCCGACCACGCCATAACACGCCTCGCCATGTGATTGGCGTGGGAATGCTGAGTGTTAATAACCCCTGAATCACTTATAAACCCTGTACGTACGCATAATTTAAACTTTTGGGTAACCGTTTTGGCCTGATGAAGAGTTACCGAAAACACGTGTTTGCCAAACTGACTTTTAAATTCAGATATCTTCCGCAGACGACGTACATGAACATACTCCTTCTTTTACTCAATTAGGAGAAAAATACGGTCTCCTTCTTGCTCAGACCTTGCACTTGAAGAAAGGATATAATTCGGCCTCAAAGAAGTTTCTACGCATGAGACCGCTAAAGACCATTATATGTCATTTCATAAAAATCCCACCTCTTCATTTACTAATGCCGCTTTCAAAGCTTGTGATAAAACTCAAATCCACTGCTAAATTTTATAAATCTCCTTTGGTATCCCCTTAACAATTTGGAGAAAATAAAGATTATGCCGTACACGGAAGATGTACGTCGTGTAGTTTGGGACGCGTGCGGACAAGTGCACCGGCAGCTTGAGATCAAGATTATTCCGGGCATACGAAGTTTTCTAAACCCCATTTATGTCCTTCTTCCGGGCATAAGATTCGAAGAAGACGTAATTCCCTGCCCAGTAAGTAAAAGAATATTTAAATGCATGTCTTAGATGAAATGTACTTAAGTTTATGAGGATATCCACAATCTATTTTGAAGAAATTCTACTATTCAAGTCGTCGTGTTTGCACAGAGTGCAATTTATTCAGGCGACCGGAAAGAGGGTCGCTCAAAAACCAGTTCTGCCGAAGTAAATGATATATCATGGGATTGTTCCACAGTGAAATTTTTATTAAAGCCCTACCTACAGTAATGGGCTAACTACTGATATGTTAACCGGAATACTGAAATGCGCTTTAGTTTCCAACAGACTACTTAAGTAGGGCTTTAAACTTACCCATCGTGGACACAATTCCATAGTAATTCAGTTAAGCGAAGTTCTTTCCGACTGTATGTAGAACTATGATCTGCAAAAAATGTCTTTCTAAGGCAGCATGAATTTCGATCAATTATTTTGGGAGTCTTTAGAAATCCGATTATACTTCGTGGAAAAGTGCATGAAAATATTCATTCTTTTGCTCGTTCGGTAGAACATTACGTTTTCTTTTAATTTTATACCCGTAGAAAGAGCATGACTCGGCTTTCGTAAACAATTTCCAATTCCCGAATAATTTTGAATCCGACATGCCATTAAATTTGCACTCAGGGTTTCTAAAGTACAAGCCATATGTTTTCTGCGTACGGTATTAAGAGGAAACCATACAGAGTCCATAAAATTTAGCAATGGGATTTGAACCATATTGTGAGATTTACAAGCCACATAAGCAAACGCAGAGACGCGATGTTTTATGAACAGGCATTCCACGGTACGTAAAATCTCACAATTACAAACCTTTAGATTGTGAAGTAGCAATGATTGCGGATGACATGAAGATATGGAGTATAATTCGGGGTCCTGCCGATGAAGACAGACTGCAGATGAACCTGAATCGGTTGGAGGAGTGGTTAAACCGTTGGCTCCTGCGGTTCAACGTTGCCAAATGTAGCATACTTCGCCTAGGCAACACAGCCAGATCCGCCAGCACAAGAGGCTACTTTCTGGGCGGTGCAGCCCTACAAGAGGTCGAAGCCCAAAGGGACCTCGGTATGCTTACGACGAGTTCCCTAAAACCATCCGCCCACTGTTCGAGGGTGGCAAAAAGCGCAATGTCCGTACTGTACGCCATCAGGCGTGCGTTTATAGACTTTGACGAAGAAGCTTTCTCTAAGACATTCGGAACATTTATCCGGCCGCATTTAGAGAACGACATACAAGCTTGGAGGCCGTGGGCTGTTGAGGATCAAAACTGCCTCGAAAGAGTCCAGAGGAGAGCAACGAAGATGGTCAGAGGTCAAAGCTCCTTTCTTTATGCGACCCGCCTAGTAAATCTGAACCCTTTTTCCTTTGAGTTACAGGCAACTTCGCGGAGATCTCTTGCAAGCCTTCCGCATTGTAAAGGGGTTGGATTGCAGTCTGGCCTTCGAGGACTTTTCTGAATTTGCTACCACGACCAATCTCCGAGGTCACCCGTTAAAAATGTGCACTCAGCAGGCACGGCTGGATGTGCGGAAGTTCGCCTTCTCTGTTCGGGTGGTCAAACCATGGAATGAGCTTCCCGCAGATGTTGTGATGTCACCATCTATACAAAGTTTTAAGAAGAATCTGGACATATTTATGTTCCGAAATGGCCAAGAGCGATGAGAAGTCGAGCTCACCCCCTGTAACTCCTTCTCATTTTGTCCCACCATTATGGGCGTATTTGAACTATTTCAGCTCAGAACGTTTATCTGTACACCACACATTTTTTACGTTGCAAATAGGGTACTCAAAGGCTTACGCCTATTTCCCTCAATAAACTGAACTGAACCTAATTCTACCCTCTCTTACCGTATAAAAGTGGTAGAGGACGTAATTTTTTTTACTAAACAAATGAAAGAATGAATATTTTATGCATGTTTTCCATGAGATATAATTCAATTTTCAAGGGCATCGAAAATAAATGGTAAAATTGATGCTACTTAAGTAGTCATTTTTTACAGAATGTGATTTTTTGTATGTGGGCGAAATAAGTCCATTCGAAGGCCGGCATCCCAAGGTAACTGAGTTATTATAAGATTATGCTGTAAGATGATTAATTTTGCAACGCTACGTAGGTAATCATTTCGAAACGAAAATACATTTTAAAATTTCGATAAACAGTTTATGAATTAGTCCGCCTACTGTCTGTAATCTCCTGAGATCTAAAACTACTGTTGGAATTTCTGTAAATGTTTAATGCGCCAACACATTTATAGTATACTGCAGCTACTGCGATCACAGGAAAACAAAGTTTGTTTTCTTGGCGTCCCGCACTCTCACTCGAACCCATCATCAGAGGCGACCGCATACGGGTTGGTGTGAGAATCCGTGACGTAAAGTCAGTAAACTTTCTGGTTTCTCCGACCGGAAGACAGCTGCGAACGAGAATGGCCGAACACGCGGCAGCGGTGCGCAGAAATGACGCCAGCTCTCAAGTTGCGGCTCATTCGACGAGATCCGGCCACACATTTAAATTCGATGAGGCCGAAATTCTCGCAAGGGGTGACAACCGAGTGAGCCGGGAGCTACTGGAATCATGGTTTACTGGCCCCCAGTCCATCAACAAGTGCAACGATCTTCCCATTCAATACAGCGTGCTGAGACTTCGTCTAGGCGGAGTAATTGGCCACGCGGGGAGCGCACTGGTGAACACTCTTCCCAACACCCGGGTCAACGCGTCAGATGGTCGAGCAATCATCACGCCAACATCCAACGCACGTGATGAAATTGCAGCAATTATCGACTCGAATGTCGACCATCAAGCTATGATCACACCAAGTGTGACAATACCGGATGAAGGGGGAAGCCGTGAACGTTCATAGGTATGCGGTAGCATGGCTGCTGCATCCTATAAATACCGCAGCCCCTTGTGCAACAACCACCCGTTTCTGCTCTTTTGTCTCTGATGATGGATTCGAGTAGGAATCCGAAACGTCAGGCTAATAAAGCTCTTGTCCCGGCGATCGTGTCTCCTTCTTCAAGACTACTTCCTGGGACTCGGCTCTTCGCTTCTATTAGTAGGTCATTTCCCTACATGTGTAAACGTCTGATACTGTTATTCAATTGCATCGTACAGACGTCATGTCATCAACAGGTTTTTTAACTGAACTACGTTACCTTTATTGCTTCCGTTTCATCATATACTTCGCTAATCATTTCCCACCAAAATCGGTTGGTTTCTTTATTAACCAGTGCTTTGAGAGTTTTGGAGTGAGCGTAATCACCTTTTCAACATGACCATATCATGCAGGCTCCGCTAACCCTTAATTTGGGTTGGATATGCCTCTCAATACAGGATACTAACTATTACGTTCCCATCCTACCCGTTCATAGGCATATCATAGTTAGCGAACTTGCCTTACCCAATCCGCTGTTTCCCTCCCTCGCTCGGTCTTCTGACACGGAAGTGGTGGACGTTCGGTGGATAGCACAATGGCGTTCTTTGACCATAGCCATTATCGCATACCCGATGCCTCCAGGTTGTTGCTCTTTCTCCGAGAAAAAGGCAAAGCCGCAGCCCTGAACTTCTTCTGTACAGCACTAATAAATCACGTACTCATACCTGCCGATTGGCCAGTCCGCAGGTTAATACGGTTTACGCTCTAACTTGGCCAACAGCGTGAATGCATGACGCGCCATGTCACATTCTGTCTTCCCGTAGGCTGCTTTCTCAGTCTCAATGTAATTTACGAGGCTCTTTCAATGCACTAAAACAAATTTTGGTGTAAATGTATTTTTTTAATTATCGCGCACTATATTTATTGCTGGTCGGCACGTTTTAGACGACCCACCCATATAACTCCTCCTACCAATCATCCCCAAAAGAAAGGTGGACAGGGGAAAAAGTTTTCTTAAGTGTTGCGACAGTGTATTCCCGCCGGAAGTTTAAATGAATCAGGAATTTCTGTCATCCAGAATACAAAGAGTCGTCCTCAGTAACTCTACCTCGAAATGGGCAAGGTGGAAATTGGTGTCCCACGGAGTTCTGTTTTGGGTCCAGTACTCTTTGTGTTTTATGTTAATGACTGCATCAGCTAACTGGATTTCGAGGCCCTCTTGTTTGCGGACGATATAAGAAAATGGAGTGAAGTCAAGTGCGATGATGACGCAAAGATATTGCAGTCGAACATCGGCAAACTGTGTTTGGTCGGACAGGTGGTTTTTGAAATTTAGCGTGCCCAAGTGCACCCAAACACCGGCTGAAATGCGTCTCCCAAAAATCAGTACTTTATTAACGGAACAGCATTAGAATCTTTAGAAAGACGCAGAGGTCTGAGTGTATGAACGACCACAAATCTACTTCCATTAGAAAACCGTAGAAAGATGGTCCAGAAGGCAACTAGTACTTTACACTAGATCAGGCGTGCATTTAAAATATTTCCTACCGATCACTTTTGAAGACTTTTCGACGTCTTTGCTATACCCCACCTGGAATATGAAATGCCAGAGGCTTCACCATTGATTAGAAAGGAAAGTGACGTGCTCGAACAGGTGCAACGAAGAACAACGAAGATGGTCGACGGTCTAAAGCATTTGTCTTACCTGGTGAGGCTGAATGTTCGTGGCTTATTCACTCTCTTTTATAGGCAACTAAACTGCGGACTACTCTGGACATTCCGGATTGTCCGTTGCCAAGGTTGCTCATACAGTACGGAGGGCTTCTTTGAGTTTTCCCTTACAAACTAATTACACGACCATCCTTACATAGTAAAAAGTTAACGCACGCGGCCAGGCCGTAGGAAGTTTCTTTTTAGCCAACGTACTGTTCAACCATGGAACTCACTGTCAAGTGAGATCGTGACGTCCTGTGTACAACTTTCTGTTTTGCATACATAACATTGGCGACGCAGCCTAACGAACATGTCTTCATTGCTGTGTACACCGCAACCTTTCTGGCCAAATAAAACTCAGAAACCCTTAAATGGCGCGTGGTTGCAATGGTGAAAGACATTTAAGTATTACATCAAACTGTAGGTATAAGGAGATCAAGGCATACAAGTTCGAGCACGCGATGCTCGTTCAGCAGTTGATCGTTGGTTTGCGCGATGAAGAAGCTCAGGAAACTCTCCTATCGGAGAAAAGGGATTTGGAATGGGAGAAAGTCTGTGATATCGCCAGTCATCAGGAGTGGGTGCGGTAAAACCTTCAGCAACTGAATCAGTCAAACGATGGAGTGATAGCATCCTTGGAATCTGAAATGGCTGTCTCCCCAGTCAAGACTGCTGTTTCTTCACCTAAACAGCAACCATCAGCTCCCTTAAAACAACCACCATCCTGCTGCCGTTGTGGTCAGACTGTAGACAACAGAAGACAGTATGCCAGTTTTACAAGAAAATCGGCCACATCGAACGAGTGTGTTTCTCCAAAAGACGAGAGAACAATAGTACGCATGCGACCTATCTTAATCCAGCTGGGGATGGCGAGACGATACTTCGAATTTTTTCGGCCAATCGCCCTACACCATCACGCCTCCCTTTGATGGCCATCCCATGAAGTATAGAATCGACACTTGCTCAGCTGTTACTCTCAGCAGTGATGCCTCTATCCAGAAACTATCTTCCCTTCTTCCGGCTAGCTAGAAATTCTGTAGTTAAACTGGATAGAACGTAGAGGTTCTAGGGGTCTTTGCGACCAAAGCTGAGCATGAGGTGAACTTCATTACTTGTTGGTTCAGTTCAGTTCAGTTTATTGAGGGAAATAGGCGTTAGCCTTTGAGTACCCTATTTGCAACGTAAAAAATGTGTGGTGTACAGATAAACGTTCTGGGCTGAAATAGTTCAAATACGCCCATAATGGTGGGACAAAATGAGAAGGAGTTACAGGGGGTGAGCTCGACTTCTCATCGCTCTTGGCCATTTCGGAACATAAATATGTCCAGATTCTTCTTAAAACTTTGTATAGATGGTGACATCACAACATCTGCGGGAAGCTCATTCCATGGTTTGACCACCCGAACAGAGAAGGCGAACTTCCGCACATCCAGCCGTGCCTGCTGAGTGCACATTTTTAACGGGTGACCTCGGAGATTGGTCGTGGTAGCAAATTCAGAAAAGTCCTCGAAGGCCAGACTGCAATCCAACCCCTTTACAATGCGGAAGGCTTGCAAGAGATCTCCGCGAAGTTGCCTGTAACTCAAAGGAAAAAGGGTTCAGATTTACTAGGCGGGTCGCATAAAGAAAGGAGCTTTGACCTCTGACCATCTTCGTTGCTCTCCTCTGGACTCTTTCGAGGCAGTTTTGATCCTCAACAGCCCACGGCCTCCAAGCTTGTATGTCGTTCTCTAAATGCGGCCGGACGAATGTTCATGTGGTAAGATGAAGCAGGCAATCAAATCTCCTCGGACGGGACTGGATTAAATGTGTCCCTTCCGTGCTATCCTACGTACATCTGATTGGTGCAAATCGGGCGTTAAATTTCATTTCGGTAAATCATAAGAATCTATTTCGTGACGATTCTGATACCCACTACCGCGGTCCGCCTGTTAAGTTTCAGTCTAAATCACATTTTCGGTCCCGATTCTTCATAGATCGTAAAGTATCCTATGGGGTCGCACCGAAGGTCGGAGAAGAGCTGGATCGTCTACAGAAAGTGGACACTATCGAGCCTTGCAATATTCGAAATGGATAGCTCCGATAGCTCCTGTTCTTAAATCGGTGGTTCTCTGCGTATCTGGGGCGACTACAAGTTGACGATTAACCCAGCAACTAAATTAAACCCTTATGCTCACCCGCGCATCGAGGATCTGTACTCATACTTCTCAGATGGTCATCAGTTTACAACTATGGACCTGAAGAATGCTTACACCGAAGTCGTCCTAGATACTAAATCCCGTGACGCCACCACCATTTATACGCATCGGGGTTTGTTTCGATAGACATACTACCATTTAGAGTAAGTTCGGCTGCCAACTTATTTAAATACTTGATTGGTAACCTCGTGAATGATATGCATCACGTTTGCGCATATCTTGACGATATGTTATATGTATATGTATATATTGAAGGGTTACAGGCAGAGCCCTTGATGACCCTATTTATGTACAGGGCTTTTGCTCAAAAATAAAATAAAATTGCAGGAATTTAAAATGTGTTTGGGTCACAGTTCAATCGTAATCATAAGGTAGTGCATAGGGTCACTGTAAATTAGTGCGGAAGATTGTATATGACAGATTTTACAAAACTGGCTGTGCATGGTCATGCTGTACAAGCCGATTTCTGTCGAAAACTAGATGAGCAAGTTTTCTTTTAAACACACAAACTGTGTCAGCCGGCAATTATGTTTGGCTTACATTGCTTCGATCTATATCTTTTTGGCCGACCCCTCGAGATTCACGCTGATCACGAACCCCTCTTAGGTTTACTGAGAGAAAAACGAGGGATACAGCAGACGGCTTCGCCGAGAATTCAACGGTGGGCACTCACTCTGTGTGTTTACACATATGCAATGAGATACGTGACGGATCGTACAAGCGTAGTAACTGACGCCTTGAGTAGGCTTCGCATTGTAGACGATGGCGTCAATGGGAAATCTGTTTGTGAGACCGAGAATCTTTTGCAGAACCCTGTCAACGCACCTATAACCTCTCAACAACCTAGTAAACATTGAGAGACCCTCTTTTAAGTCGGGTTAAAAGAGCCTTTCAGTCTGACTGGCCGTCCGCTACCTCCACCAATTTTCAGGCATCCCACTGCCGTCAGTACAAGTTAATTCCACAAGACGGATGCATATTATGAGACAATCGTGTAGTTGGGCCTACACAAGGCCGAAGGACTATCTTCAGATACCTTCATAGTGCTAATCCTGGTACAGTTAGAATGAAAACTTTCGTCCCGGTTATGTTTGGGGGCCCAAAATTTACGCAGATACAGAAAACGTAGGGAAAGCATGTCCTCTAAGATCTCTGCGGAAGTCCTCCTTCTCTGTTCCAGTGGTCAAACCATGGAATGACCTTCGCGCGGAAGTCGTGAAGTCACCATCAATACAAAGTGTCAAAAAGAATCTTGAAATATTTATGTTCCGAAATGACCAAGAGCGATGAGAAGTCGGTCTCACCCCTGTAACTCGTTCACATTTTGCCCTGCCGTTATGGGCATGTTTAAACTATTTCAGCCCAGAACATTTTCTGTATACCACACATTTTTACGTTACAAATAGATCACTCAAAGGCTTACGCCTATTACTCTCAATAAACTGAACTGAAATGAACACATCTTATCAACGAAGAGGGCCTATTAGTAAGGGAAGGTTTATTGAGAACGTTTGGGGAAATAAGCAAGTCACAAGGGTATGCGGAAGGAGAGTACTGTTAAATGAACTAGGAACCGCGGATTCAGATCAAGCAAGCCACGAGCGAAACCGGAAGTAACCGCCGCCCAAGCAGGAGGCGTCATTAATCACCTCGTCCGGGACGGGCTTTTGGGTCACTACAATAGGCAGAATCAGATCGGATCAGGGAGAGTAAAAAATAACAAAGAATAGGCAAGCAGTTGATTTGCGTCACAAATTTTTGTGACCCTTTATGTTTGCACTGAACTCGTTTTCTCGACGGTTTACACACTATGTCAATTCTAACAACTTTGCGCATCAATGTTTTCTGACATTTGTTTTTCAAACATTTCCTTATTTTTATTGCACCCTTTTTAGTATCTGTGGGCTGTTTGTCTGCCATAACGCCTCTTACTAGATGCCTGTCTACTAGTTTACGCTGAGTACTTCACATACGCTGAGTGCTTCACATATACTCAGAGCCTAACAAAAATTCTTAGCTCGAAATTCCTATTAAAGCAGTCGCTCTTTTCGAGTGGTTCTGACTGTTTGCGCTCGCCATTTTACTTGTCGTTCGTCATCTGAGGCCTTTCTGTGTGCTCGATCGGCACTCTGGAATGTAACTGGGTTTGGTCAGTTTGTCAGTTAGTGTTCGCCAAGCAAAGCAAAAGGCCGAACAAGCTCCTGAAGAGTTTTTAAAATTATTCTGAGTTTTCGAACGCGTGCAGGAGTCCATAATCCACTCGAGAGTGCCCGCTAAGATCTCTGAATAAACCAAACCTTTGCTAAGGCTTTGAACAAGTGACTCTAAAACAACAGTTTTGTTTTGCCTTAGCCGGAATAGAACCCTACGAGATGTCAAGGCGAGGGACCTCTCTCCACGTAAAGAATCTCGCAGATGGCGTAAGGTACTACATTTCCATTAATTACTAAGGTTTTATAGGTTAGAGACCAGTACGTTAAGCGTAGAATCTATAGTTGTCAGTGACGCTCAGTGGGCATAGAAGCTTTCTTTAAAACCAGACGTTAGCCTATCCGGTCCTTTATACTAATGCTGCCGAAGGAAAATTGGTAGTGGTTGGAAGGGATATTTAAGTAGGCGTAATGGCAGCGGCCTTTTAAGATAGGTCTTTGGGATGTCAAACCCTTCGCATCCAACAATCTTGTTTTGCCCCACCAGTTCTGTTCCCGGGCGTGTCTAAGAGCATAACTGGAATCTCTCCGTTGCCTACTTTAGTACTTAACCCGTAGGTGTTCCCATATAAATTCAGATTTCTCAAACGTGCTCGCACTGCCAGCTCATTTTCGGCGACTGCGTTTTCTCCCGCATAGCTTTGTGCCTTTGCTGGGTGCCCTTATAACATCTCACTCGCCCAGGGCAAGTTCCCACGGTTAATCTACTGTTCTTTTTGTGATTGGCCGACTCCTCTCAATAGTCCCTGCAGGCACAATCCGCCCAGTACTCCCTCCGCGGGATTGGATTCAGCGGCGGGGATGTTGCAACCGGACCGGGTTGTGTCCTACTGGACACGGCATGTCAATGAGATCACTAGCCACACACGAGCCCGCGAATCAGATCTGCTAGTGCGGAACAAAACGGGTTAGTACAATGTTGTCAGGGTGTTTGGATGCCGTTTATGTGGCAGGGAACAGTCACAACCATTGCGTATGGGGTCAGGTCTTTTTAAACACGTCCTGTCTGTGGTCTCATCCACGATTTACCTGCACGGTCAACCATCTGACCTTTTTCGATCAATTGGTCACGCAATCGGTATGACTTCGCTGTCATTCAAAAACTCTGCTGTTCGGCTCTTATGTCAATTATCGAAAGCTGTACGAAGGCGACATTAGCACAAATCAACCCCGGTAATCACGGACTATCCTTCAGAACCGCGTTCCCTCCGTCAGGTCGTTGGCGCCTATGTTCCGAAGCTATGTCGGCTGTTTATATGCCTGCCACTCTTCGTAGTTCACATTCTGTATACACATTTGTCTTATCTATGCTAACCGTAACCCCCACAACCCCGGTGAATCATACTCGCTCCGAGCTAGTTCCTACTTCTAGTCTTCGGTCATTTTCGTGATAGCTGACTCCTGCCGGATGTCCCTGCAGGTACGACCACCCAACAATCCCTTCGCGTGATTGATGTCAAAGGCCAGTCGGATCACTAACCGCACACAGTCCAGAAGGTCTGAGCCGTTAGTGCAACGTTATCAGGGAACCGTTGCAAGGAAGCCCGTTCTTTTCGGCACCACATAAATATAGAAGCTTTTTGTTGAGTGAGATTTGCCTCAGCTAACGCAGTATTTGTCCGTTTATAGCGTCGGATCAGTGTGTGGCTGTTTATCAGGCTTAACACGAACTTTGACTCGTAGCCCTGTGCTAACGATGAGTCAAAAACGCCCGTCTGTTGAGTACCTTGTCTGGACCCACTCAATTTCTAATGAAATACTATGTTCTATTAGTGTCTATCCATACCGCTCCTCTGACGGGATGATCGTGTGTACGAATTAGTCACGATTGTTTACAGGCGAATTTTTTTGGTACACCTGAGTTTTCTTCAATGATGGTTCATAAGCACCCTATGCGTATGGTAAATTCGGACAGAATTTCCAATGATACTCTCGCAATCTTTCCCCACTGTTGTAGGCACGAGGAGTTGCGGCGCGTATTTGGAAAGTACGGGCACTTGCTGGACGTTACAGTGCCCGTTAATTTCCATACTGGTCGACCGAAGGGCTTCGCCTTTGTGGAATATCCTTTTACGGAGAACGTCGTTTTTTCTTTGTTATCTTCATACCACCCCCCTAGTTTACTATAAGTTTCCTTAACCTGTCCAAACGTTCGAAGATAGACGGGATGCCGAAGATGCGCTTCATTATCTCAATCAGACTCGTCTGTGGGGTCGCGAAATATCCGTCGAATTTACCCGTGGAACTAGAAAAAGTAAGCTCATTTTTAGTTTCTTCAGAATTCATTCTTGCTCCTACATGCAATTGTCTATTAATTCTATGTCCCGTTAGACTGTCTTCCAGTCCCAAACGTTTAGTTTAGTTCATAGTTTCCGGTCCTTGGTTTCGACGTTTTCTTTCGCTCCCCTATGATTTGGTGCTTTAATTGCTTGTATTTTAGTGCTCGCAGCTTCTCTCACGTAATCAGCTTCGTAGCTCCGTGACGCTAACTAAATAGAATGGCAATAATTTCTTTTTCAGTTACTGAAATGCGACTTTTTGGCCCGGTTAAGGTTCCCAATTCAATGCCCATTCATTCAATTTCAATGCCAATGCTCTATGGTTCTGTCTATACTGCCACTGGAGTGCCCAAGAACTTTGAGCGCGTCAGTTTGACGCCCCTTTGGTCAGGTTCCTGGGACAGCCAATTTTAGCCGGCAAATTAGCTATTTTGTTCCGATTATCTCAGCACCCGCAGAGATGCGTCTGAGAGACCAGGGCTCGCGCAGTCGCCGAGACAATAGGTCCTATCGACCTCGTAGCCGTTCGCGTTCCCGCTCCCGCTCCTACCGTGGACGCCGAGATCGCTTAGATGACTCTGATCGCAAAGAATACAGTGCTCGACGTCCCGCGAGATCTATTTCCCGCAGTCCCTCAGCTGACGGACGCGCGAAAAATGGCCGTAGACAATCATCTGTACGAGATGACTCTCCTGTTGAAGATCGATGGAGAGACGATCGAAGGTCGCGCCCGAGGTAAGACGCCGCATTGTCTTTACTAACGACTTTATTGGTAGGTTAAGGCCACTTGAGACATAATGCCGTATTTCCCATTTAGATCCTCTAGCATTAGAAGCCGCAGTGGTGATTCAAGGCGCCCCTCTCGGCAGCGGTCAAAAGGAGACCGCGAAAGGTCACCGGTCTCAGAACGTGGTAGTCGCTCGCCGATAGAACATAATGACTACGGAGCAAAGAAGGACGAGTACCGCCGCAGGTCGCGCTCTGACAGGTCTTCACCTTCTCGGGGGCGACGAGGGCTGTCATCTTCACCTGAAGCATTGTAACCTCCCGGTTGGTGGATTGAGAAGCAGAACGCAGACTTTTAGTCGGATTTTCATTTTCGACTGTGTATTTGTATGTGTTGTGCTTATGTCTACAAACCTCGGGGTAGTTTCTACACCACATTTTACCATGTTTATTGAATAAATACATGAATGTAAATCCATGCCTTATTTTCACTGATAGGTTTGGCGTGTAAGCTGTTATTGCGTTTATCAAGTCTTTGAACCTTTACTTTACATGCGTATTTCGTGCTGAACTATCGGCTTTGTCGTCTCTGCGAAATTCATCTGATTGATTCACATATTTTTTTGCACGGTCGTCTCGTAACGACGCGGGATCCGGTCCTATTCCATTATGAAACCTGCATCCGCCCGTTTCTGATGTTTTTCTTCTGTAGTCCTGCATATTTTATTGGTTGTTTAACGGCCTAGGCTTTTTGGTTCTGCGACTTTGTGTACCGTGTGTACACAATTACTTCAGAACAGATGCGCTGAGTTGGCTGATCGTTCCCTCCACTGGCACAATGTCGGGTCAAACCGTTTTACGAGGTTCCCCACCTAGCTCTGAGGCACTAGAGGTTCGTAATCGTTTTTTTTTCGTTACAATAGTCTCCTAGGGCCGACGGTTCAGTTCGTCTTATCGTTCTGGCGTTTTGCGTAAGGCAAATTAAGTTAAATTCTTGCGCTGTGTTTTGTTTGCTGTCTAGTATCCTCCCACAGTGTCATCGGTTATCATGACAGTGGTGTTTGTGTAGGTGACGCGATTGTCGACACGTGCGTGTCCGAAATATGGGTCGGGCTGTTCTGGCGGTCTTAAACCCGAGACCATACAGGTTAGCCACCCCACTTATTCTCCGGTTGGCCTGGCCCAGGCTTGCTTGGTGTACAATGGGAAGGAGCGAGAAAGCGGAGCCGGTGTTGCACATATTGCTTTCAACAATAGGGCGTGGCGCGGCCGTAGTTTGTGGCTTTGAAGGCTGCGAGCTGTTGGGGCAACTCAGTCCTCCGAGCTAAAGGTTAGGTCACAGTGGCTTAGTGGGACTCCATGACACCTCTCGCTAATGCGAGCCCTGGGTGATTTAAATCTGTCTCGGGTGTGTCGTGGAGCCGGTCGGGGGCGCCACGCATATGTGAGGACTGCCAGGTCAACCACTCATCCCACTCTATCTCCACTCAGCTTAATCCGTTTTTGCCCGTGACGAAAAGTTTGAGATAGGTCTAAGAGCCGCCTCTGCTTCTCCACGCATAAATTGCCCTATCGCTTGTGACGAGTGAACTGTGGAAGTCTTGGCGGGGCCTTCTCAACTAAGATGAGACGCGTTTGAAAATTTGATTTGGAGGTGCGGGGGCGCTGTCCATGTTTCATGTCCGACCACGAAGATTATACGTTCTTGATTCTGTATATTAATATGCTACAACCTCATATGTCTCAGTATTGCATAGATTCCTTAACGCGTTAACGGCATATGCTCATGACTGACGGTGTTCCGCACCATCCCGCCCAGTTCGTCTCTCCTCAAATTGAGGTCTCTTGCTTCACTGCGCACCAGGTGAAGGGGCTGTTCAAATAGAGGTGTCGTATACAAAGTTCCTGGGTAATAATTGATCCAACCATTAAACAAGTTTAGCTGAGGTTTTACTACGCTTTGTTTCGTACGTCCTACACCTGATACGGGTACCAGTAATTCTTATCTTATTAGGATGATAGCTAGCCTTCCAACGAAAGCTCCATGCTCTCTACTAATGTCGAATTGGCGGTGGATCCACGAATCTTAACGAATAGGGGATGAGAACGGCCCATGGAGTTTGAGCGGCCGCGAGTCTCCTTTCTGTCCTATTTCTCAATCGTTTACTTGTTACTTCTCAATCGTTTGATTGGCTCCAAATCTGTGAGGGCGCTCCCGACTTTCATTCGTTAAAGACATTTTCATGCCTTGACTCACCTGTGATTCACGATAATTTTCACTTGTATATGTGAAAGTCGGACGATATTTGGACCTGGGCAGAAACTCGAAGCATAATCTCCGTCCAACACCTTGCCGACATCAATAAACGTCAAACCCCCTAAGAGATGCGTAACGACGACGCACTGATGAGTTTCATCATGCCCGGGTCTCACCTGCTCATCTTATTGCCCTAAGTTACAGCCACATGCAATACTGACCCGTAGGATTAATTGAAGTGGTTATGTATCTTGCTGCAGTAGATGCTGTCTCAATTTGACATGTTCTTACTGGTGTGTCTTCGTTCTTTACACGAATGATTTTATACCTTATGTGAAGTAAAGCCTCATATGCTGCTTCGATTACTGGGGGCGACACGTTTCCTCAAAAATTAAGACAACCGACCGTCTGGGTATTATGAGACAGAAGGGCACCAGCTCTAATGAAACCGTGGACAGAATGTGCATTAGTTTTCGAAATAGAGAGTAAATCTTGTGACCTGTTGGGCCTACGGAGTTCTCATCTCCATCAGTTTGCCTAGTCCGTCCTTGAATTAGACTCATTGAATTGACTCGCAACTACTTCTTCCGTATTCTGCCAAATGTTATGTTGAGTGAAAGTCTGAGCTATAGGGCATTACGGCCACCTCATTCCCGCTATGGGTTGGGATGGCCTTCCTGACCAGACCTGTGTCCGGCTTGCGAAATAACTGTTATAAGTATAATGACTAGTAGCACTGGATTTGGAAGCCAAGGTTTTCACAGTGTGCCTGCTCTCCAATTCCATGCTTTTCCTGTTTTAGGTGGACACAATATTGTAGCCATCTCTTCCACCACACACACCGGATAGTTGCTAAATGGACAACCTCCAGGCCATCCAGAAGCAGCTGGAGTTCTATTTCAGTGATGCAAACTTATCGCGCGACGGTTTTTTCAAGTCAGAACTACAAAGCAGTGCAGATCAGTCCCTCAGTGTTAACCTGTTGCTAAACTGCAATCGCCTGCGCCTGATTGGTGCCACAACGGAGACCGTTGTTGCCGCAGCCAAGCGTTCACGCATTTTAGAACCCGTGCGAAATGGTTAGTTGGATTTAGATGACTCAATTACTGTTACCTTATTTGAAATTTTGGGCTAAGTCTCTAACGATGCCCTTTTTCACTCTGCTGGTCGTCAAAATCCGGAATCAGTTACACGGTAATCCTGGTAGCGTCCTCCCGTACTGCCTCTTAACGATAGTGGTAACTTTTAGCAGAGGCGGCTGCAATCAGGCTGTACAAACCAGTAACTATTAGTGTACTTTCCATCTCTGTCCCTCATATACGTTGAATTTCGTCAGCAAGCTTCCCAAACTCTGAGTGCGCCTTGTTGGTGACTAATACATATACTTGTGACACTTGTAGCCCATGCAGATTTTCAGTTCTGTTCAGTGCATCTGAACGAAACAGACTTACGCTTTTGAATCCTCTATTTATCACTTACAGTTTAGAAGAATTACCATTATACCGTTAACGGTATAATGAAAATACAATGTCAAACGAAAACAGGCTTGCTTTCATGTCAGCACGTATATCTATGTACTTGCATGAAACTGAGTCTGTTTAGACTTGACACTGTATTTTCCCTGAGTCACATAGTTCGCTTGTTGCTGCAATATGCGTCTGTCTAGGCGGCGTTTAAATGTCTTCACAGAATCAGCCATGGCAGTCACCTCGGACAGATTATTCCATGGTTCCATTACACAGTTGGATAAAAAATGCCTTCCCACATCCAATTTCTCTTGGGACGCATACATTTTCAAGTGATGCCCCAGGCGGTTGTGTGTAGTGGCGAGTTGAGAGACGCCCTCAGACAGGAGGATACAGTACGAACCACGTGCGGTGCTAAAGGTCTGTATCAAGTCCTCACTCACTTGCCATACCGTCAATTACGTCCTTCGTGAATCATTGATCACACCGAGAGTATCGTAGACGCTGACACATACTGTAATTGAGGCTCACAGACGTTCTTTGAAAATCGGACCGTGCGACTTGACTTTGACCTTTGCTCATATGTCGTCCACCAAAAGTCGTCTTCGGGCAGTACTGTTACTCAAAACTCACCGATGCGTTTAGTCGGCCACTCCACGGCAGTACGCTGGCAGTTGCCGTCAGACATAGCCGTATTCTTCCGACGCCGAAGCCCAGTGCAACAGAAGCAGTGGGATGCACAAAATGACCGGTGGACTAGCAAGGTGGTAGAAATCAATACTTAAAGAACTGATTGACGACCATCAGGGCAGGCTACTTTCCTCAAGTCAACGGATTTGCACCGTCGCCCACCTCACAGGGGACAACATTGTTATCGGAGAAGTCGAGGATTGTGAAGTTCTGGGCTGAGGCATCGTCAATCGCCCTTCTGCGCTCTGTAAGCAAGCGACCTCCAGACTACCTCATTTGGCATCAGCCAGTCAGAGCAACAAAGCAGATATCCGGCAAAAAGGCGCTGGACTCCGGCCGAAATCCACAAACATGCTGACTCCTAACCCATGGACAAGTTGACCTCACTGTCCCCGAAGATGCGACGGCAAAGGCGACTCCCGCGGGGTTTCAAAGACACATCCATTGTTCATCTGTACCCAGCGCAAAGGCAACCGGAAAATATCTAACAACCACTGCTGAATCTTTCTTTCAGTATGGTTGGAAGGTAATTACTCTCGTGATATTCGACTGTTTGAACATATGTTTAGAACAGGGACTTCTTCCTGAACCCCATTTCGAATTCTGCAACACCGCGCTACCATCGACGTGATCTTCGCAGTCCGGCAGCTGCAATAAATATCCCAGAAAATAAGAATCAGCCTTCGTACCACCCTTGAGCCGATAAATGTCTTCAACACTGTACACGGTGGGGAGAGGGGGGGGGTAGTCGTAGAAATTCGGACTTTCAAGACAGCTTGTGTGAATAATCGGATAACTGGACCGTGGCGTAATTGAGCGCATCACAGACAGTGGATTAGTACCGAACGCGTTTGTGGTGATTTGGATGAAGTGCGGTCGTACGCTCGCCCCGCCTCATGTTCCCTACCATGCCGATGAACACCTACGTTTTGGAAGGACTTAGAATCAACGTAAACCGCGTAACCTTGGCGAACCATTCAACACCCGATGCATGCAGACAGAGACGAGTAGCCGGGGCCAACTCCCACGACTAATTAATCGCAGACGATTTCTCGCTAAGTACCGCAACCAAAGCGGACGTTCAGCAGAGCCAAATGCTCTGCCTTCGGTTGGTCGAACTTTGGACTGGCCATTTATACGAAGACAGTGGCTGTTTACCAGCCGGTGCCATATGAACGAAATGAATGACTCGGCGTAGGTATCAGTGGAACTGACCTCGCGGCTGTAGGCAAATTTGCATACCTAAGGGATATCATGTCAGAAAATAACAAGGTAATGGACGAAATTGCAAGTCGAATCCCCAGAAGAGCGGGGTTTTCGAAAGACTGTAACAGTCAGTCGGGAGTCGCCCCGATAACCCTTTGAACACGCAAGTGTGGATGCATGTGGTTATCGCCCTGTCTACGCCCCTGTATGGAATGGAGGCGTGGACGTCGTTCGAATCCCGGCAAGAAGACCGAACCGCTCTCATTTTAGTTACCTCCGAATAGTACTGAAAATAGGCCCAGTGGGTCTTGGTCGCAGGGGTCAAAACAAGGATGCGCTTGCTCAACGTGTATGGTACGGTATAGGACGTTTAGTTACGTTGAACGGCCATATCATCGCGATGGCTGACGTGTACCTGATCAGAAGATACTTCTGCTGAGGCATCGCTGCTCATTCTGGCAAACGAGGCAGGCAAGACCGAAGATAGCGACTTTGAAGACTTCCTTACAACCGAAAGATCTGAAAAGGTCTCTCGCACGGTCGACAGGCTAGACACACCACCGTAAAAGCTAAAGGAATGGTTTTTGAGGTAAATCAAATACGGGAGGTCATGGTGAATCGAGAGGCGCGCAAGATGCGAATGCTGCTGACCAACGTTGTTAACGTCCATCTCCTACCAAATGTTAACTAAAATTCAGAGTTCGGATTGGCCTCGTTTGGATGCTTCGGATCCACAGTAACGTAAACACGACCTACCAGTTTACCACACATCAACTTCCTCACCACCAGCATCATCACTGGAAACACCTCCCACCTTTCCTAACTGAAACAACACGTCCTAGTCCTGGCTTGCCCCGGTCGACATGTGCGTACCCCTCGCAGCTCGAACACCACCGACAGTTCGACCGTCGTTGCCGACGATGTTCACCATGTACTCCACAGCTAGGTTAGAGCAGGGATGGTGACTTGTGCGGGATTTAGTTTATAGTGAGTGTAGACTTGCACAATATCTATCGCACTATCTCCTCCTCCCTCACCTAGACCTGGTGTTAAGACAGAGTCAAGAAGACCGCAGGCGGGAGAGGGCGCAGCTGGATGGCACGGTCGAGCCCGCACCTTGTCGTTCCGCTCCACATCCCCTGGCCTACAAAGCAAATGACCAGGTTTTTAACCAACAACAACAACAATGGGGGAGGGGGGCGGCAAGGGTCACAGTGTACGTGACGACTACCAGCAACCTGGTCTGCCACCGCACCTACAGAAGTATAGGCAACGACAGCTTGTTCCCATTGTGCGTCTGTCCTAGGAGTCACTTTTGAATTTATTCCAATTTGGCCTAGGAACAAGCTATGGAAGCCTCACCCAGTAATTACGCACGCTTTCGTTGCCCCACACGGTCCAAGGATATCCAAACACCGCACAGGCACGTTTGACCGTATGCGCGTGAACGGAATCTTTCTGTAAAACAGCACAGCCGGGCACGACCCACCCGCACACAGAGGCACCTCTAGCTTCGTTTCGGTGATCTGGTCATGCAGCGGAGGATGCATCGCATGTTTCATACGCATGAAAGCGATTTTCGCAGCACGCCGGTCACTACATCCAATCTATTCACAAGTTCGCCGAAAATCTCAGGCCACTGGCGTGGGAAACAGGGGTAAGCGAATGGGGCCATCCAGTACTTACTTGTACTTGGTACGGCTGCGATCATGCCTGATCTAGCCGGCCCCGATGATGTCCCGAACTGTACCCCTCCACGCGTGCCTATTCGCGGCAGCCGATCCGAGCAGTTCAACCCATTCTCTTCACCGACGACGACGACTGAATACCGAAGGTCCAAGAATCAGTTTCATGTCTTGACGAACTGCGTCGAGCCAGGTTTTGAGTTAGCCCCCTCTTCGACGCCGCCAATGGGGTAACGGTACCGGATCAAGGGCGGTAACACTGAGCTCCTGAAATGGACGACGAAGAACGTGCACGAACTACTTTAGTCGTCTTTCTTGGACGGCATGGGTTATCCGTGCGATGTTGTCGCAGCGAGTGCGGACCGTCTCATTTGAGACGAAGTCGGTGAACTTCACTCGAAGGGTGGTCTCCAAGCAGTGGTGGTCAAATACCTCCAGTTTTCGCCTGTCCTCCGTGCGCAAGGCCCGACATTCACAACCGTAGAGAAGGACAGACCGGACAGATGCACGGTGCACGCGAATCTTAGTAGCGATGGAGAGGTCGCGTCGGATCCATAGGCATTTTCGGAGGCTCGAGAAAACCATTGGGTATCATCAATTCGGGAGACCATGTCATGCTTGCTATGCCCATTCGGCGGCAGCCTCGCCCCGAGTTATTTAAAACTGGCTACGTCATCAAGTTGGCAGCCACAAATCCCGAAAGGTGCCTTCTCCTAGTCAGGGATGCGGCTTGAAAACATTTTGGTCTTCCCAGCGTTTATGGATAAACCGAC